CTCTAACATTTTTGACGAATGTGATTAAAATTAGCACCATCACCGACCAGACAAATTGAGTCGCCTTCCTTTTGACGGCGGCTCAATAAACTCCTTCTCTTTCAATGTACCAATCTAGCATAAGTAGTTTCTACTCAATTTTCTAACACCGTTCCTCATATACAACGTATTTCCTAAGCTATTGACTTTAATAGCCTATCTTATCTTTCTTTTAGCCACAGACGTACCATAATCTGCAAACCTACTATTTTGAGACCATTCTATTTCATGTCCAGTTTCTACCATATGCTCGGCCACTTCTATCCGTTGAATTCGGCATCCTTTGCAAGCAATTTTGTGTTCTCCCAATCCTTGTCAAATAGGTCAGCATGTCTCACTAACATAACATCGACCACATGAGCAAGCAATCTTGTATCCGCCAAATCTCTATAATGTGTCATATTACTCTCTAAAAGATAGCATAACAGAAGAAAGTGTGAGGATTTCTTTGAACACTGTTTCTATGCCCCACTTCTTTACTTATTCGCCTATCTGTTTTGGGAGAAGGCATGACGGCAAATTTAGGACATGTGAAAAGGTCTCAGTCTGTCTCTCTTTGACTAAATGGTTTCTTTCTGAAAATTTATTCCTTGGACTTGGTACCAAGTCCACTGTCTGATGCTGGGAATCATGACAACTACTATGGCAGACGGCTTCGGACCAGGTGCGTTCTACTAAGTCGCCCTGACAACAAGACCAAGTTGCAACAACGAGGTCATCCAAATTCTATACATCGAAAGGAGACTGTGACCATACCAGAGGCCACAACATCTTGGTCTTTATATCTTAAAATCTGTTCCTAACCTACACTTTTCTCTAATGATGAGAACATCCAGGAAAGCTAAGGATTTATTCTCTTAGATTTCCATCGTGAACCTAATGTTCCTTTCACGTTGGTTGAGTGAAATTAGGAAACTATCTAAATTGTCTTTAGCATGAGGCGAGATGACAAAATAGTCATCCATGTATCTAACCCACAATTTAGGAGTTAGTATTGCCTCTTGCAGGAAATGTTCCTCCAATCTTGCCATATAATTATTCGCTAAGCTGGGAGACAGACACAGAGGAGGGGTAATAACGCATTGAGTAGCACAGATGGGTTATCAGCAGTCGAGTGAAATGCTTGAACCAGAGAGACAGCAGACGGATTCTACGAGGCAAGAGGGAGACTATGATAAGACCTAGGGAAGGAGGACTGCGTAACAATATGGCAGACTCGGATCAACATTCCCAGCACAATAGTGAAGGGGGGGTGAGAACGCCAGAGTGG